TTCTTTTTAATGCCCCCTCTCTCTCCAAGATAGCACGAGCACTCAAGACACAGAAAAGAGACCATTTAGGTTTGCTGGTGAAGGGAGAAGGAAAATAAAATCTTTAAATTGCAACTTCTAGCTCTAAAGTTACAGTTCTGACATCAGCCACGTAAGGAAGATGAACCATGGAGACCACAGCATGTGGTAGCACTTTTCTCCACCTGTCGGCAATAACAACATATTCAGTGCTCATGCAAAAAGCTCCGCTGGCTCTTGCGAACAGGATGCAGACCCAACTCTCTCAGCACCCTGCAGCAGGCCTGTTTGCCTGTGCATCACGCTCTCATTACGCTCACAGATGAACTTGTTACAGAAAAATCTAGCATTGGTACTTTGGCTTACTTCCTTGTTCTTTGGTTTTGCACTGGCATCACTGAAAATGAGCGAAACAAACTGAATTTATTGTGCTGTGCCGTGGTGGTGTGCCCTGCCACCAAGCAGCAGATGCAACGGATGCAACTTTCATCAAAGTTGGCTCTTTCTTTGCCTGGGTATGATTGAGGAGGGTACCGCAGGACAGGCTCAGTCCTTTCTACAGCAACTGACTACCCCACAGCCTCTATACAAGGCACCCTTACAATACACTGAGACAGTAAAACGATATTATGCCAACTGCAACAGCAGGGAGCAGCGTTTGCAATAATACGCCCAAGGTCACACAGCAGGGATCCGAATCCTGGTTTGGCAAATCCCAGTGCAGGCCTGAAACACTGCCATGTTTCTGGCAAACAGAGGTAAACTTCCCAGGGGAAGCAACGTGGAACAACAACTTGTTTGTGTCTGACCAGGTAAGTGGATGCAGAAGAGAATGCAAACGACACCTGCTTTGGGGCAGAGCTGGAATTACTTGGGCGTTGCTCATGGGCAGGAACTGATGCCACCAAGTTCCTCCTTCGTTGTCATCCCAACCCACTCTGTCCCTGCATTGAAATCCACAGGTAGGTGCATTTTCTTCTTCAGGTCTGAGGGAAAGAAATCTATGGCATTTACTCAGAGAGACACCCGTCCAAGAACATCTGATTTTGCAAGTGCTCCAGTGCATTTGCACACACCATTTCACCCAAAGGCCTGTTCCCAGATCCCAGCCCAGGAGGAAAACCATCACAGCATTTATTTCAGCATTGCCCTGCACGGTTCACATAGGTTAGCACAATCACACCTTTTATAGCATGATCCTTGCTCTGCTCCATTCCTCTACCAGGGATTAACACGAACCTTACATACTGTCTCTGGAGGGGACCAATAACTTACACTGAGGTGAGTAGGCTTTAGAGCAAACTTCTCATACTTCTGTTTTGCCAGACACATCATGGTAGTGACAGGTGAGACCAGACTGAGCAGGGGCAGAGACCAGAGAATCACAGAATGACTCAGGTTGGAAGGGACCTTAAAGACCATCCAACCTCACCCCCCCTGCCATAGGCAGGGACGCCACCCACCAGATCAGGTTGGCCAAGGCCCCATCCAGCCTGGCCTTGAGCACCTCCAGGGATAGGGCAGCCACAGCTCCTCGGGGCAGCCTGTGCCAGCGCCTCACTGCTCCTGCTGAATTTCCTCCTATCGTCTAGGCTAAATCTATCCTATTTTAGCTTAAAACCATTCCCCCTTGTGCCATCACTATCTACCCTAGTAGAGTCCATCTCCATCCTTTTTACAAGACCCCTTTAAGTACTGAAAGGCCGCAATAAGGTCTCCCTCAGTGAGGGAGCCTTCTCTTCTCCAGGCACAACCCCCAAGCCCTTTCTGCAGGGCTGCTCGCAGTGAGTTCTCCCAGCCTGTCCTCATGTGTGGGATTGCCCCGAACCAGATGCAGCACCTTGCACCACGCAGGTCAGCATCCTGCAAGACACCGCCACCTGCTTACAGGCACACTTCCAGAAGTCCCCCAGCCTGCAGGGCGAATCCTGCCAGCAGTTACATTATGAATCCCGGGCTCGTCAGCCTAAGCCCAACTGGCACAGTCAAAGAAGCAACTGCAAGGTAGGAGCGAGCCAGTTACAGGGCTGATTCTGCAACTATTGCACGCTGTTAGCACATCCTTGAGGTTACAGTAGCTAATGCTACCTGTCCCAAATCTCAGCAGCTGAATGCTGAGTGTGATTTGGCCGTGATCCCAGTGCTGCAGGGCGGTAGTGTGTAAATAGCCTACTGTGCTCACCAGGGACTGGATGGACCATGCTGAGACTTGCAAGCAGCTGCCAGGCAAAAAAAGCAGAGAAAGGCTGCGACATGACCCTCCACAGGCAGCAGGAACAGCTGAAGCTTCAGACACTTCACTAAAAACATATCAAAACATCTGTGGAAGAGGCAATAGGCTGGAGAAACTTGATAAAAGTCTCTCTGAGTATCTCATCATCATCTCAACTGTGAGAGAGAAGCCTCCTCTCACTGGGTGTTTGTCCCTCTGGATGCAACCCTGAGCAAGAAAAAGAACAACAACAACAAAAAAGTTTTTTTTAATAAACTTAAATACAGCTTTTGAAAACTTGCCCAGGCAAACAAAACGTTAATGCAAGTTTTGGCCTGGTCTTCACTGCTTGGGAAATAATTCCTCCCCCTCAATAACATAAGCTGTAGCAGCTCTATTGTTCCAGTCACCACAGGCACAAGCATCTCCTTCAGCATGTCCAAAGCTACCCTTCAGCACACCCTGTGCCCCTTTGTCTCTCAAGCAGGGAGGGAAGGGTGTGCAAGAGGTCCACAAAACCAACAGTATGTTGGGGCTTCCTCAGAAACACAAATTGTGAGGAAGCATGAGAACAGACTAACCCATGGAAGCTGCTCTAAGGAAAGAGCCAGCTGTTCTACGCCTCAGGACAAGAGAAGTAGTACCCAGCTGCAAGGGCAGTAAGGAAGAACAAGTGCTAAGGACACCTGGCCAGCTGTAAGAACAATGAAGCAAGAGAACAACTTGTGTGCAAAATTCCCGATCGTCATTAGACACCTTTTAGATCAGGCTGGGCAAACCTGACTGATGTAAGCCAAGCTGATTCTTTTGGACAAGGAATTATGGTAGGTGAATGTCAAGCTCTCTCCCAACCCATTCTGGAATATGGCCCGGTGTCACAGATCTGGGTGCTTGCCAGTAATCCACACACACACTCAGTCATCAGGGTCCCCAGAGACCGATTTGTTGCGCTGCCTTGGCTGACTCACTCTGCGTCCACCAGTTCCTCACCTGGGAAGGTGGGAGCCCCATCCCTGCTACATCTTCTCTCGACTGGGAGCACTGCAGCGATAAATGTTTCTTAGGCTCTATGGTCCTCAGAAAGTCCCTTTCCTTCTGAGTGGAAGCCTGAAAACACAGGTGGAGCCTGCACTTCAGGGTAGTTGAAAATTACACTGGAACAAAAACACGGATTGTCCCAAAACATGGATTAATATAGCCCTGAGGGGACCATGTCACAGCCATGAGGTCCCCCCCAGCTTCCCCACAGCAGCCCCACGCTGAAGCACGGGGAGGTTAAAGCCCCACTTTGCAGCTGCACCTACAGGGAAGCCCTCTGCTGACCCAGGTTCTCACTGGGGGACCGCACATTGCCACACTGCCAACAGACACACGCTGCGCTGGGGACGCCGGTGGCAAGACTGCTCTCCATCCACCACGGACACAGCCTGGCTGGGACCACAGCACCATCTGCAGGGCTCTGCCAAACACCAAGCTGTTACCAACTCCTCATGGAAGGCCAGTGGGATCCTTCCTAGGAGATACTTGGCAATGGTTATGCTCCAGAAATACGCACCTGAGCACACACAACCACGCTCTTCAAGGTCCTGCAGGAAAACAAAGCCCCTCTGAAAGCACCACCTCAGAAACAAATCATTTGTTTGATCCAGTTCCACAGACCCACTAAGGTCCCAGAAAATTGAATGCATTTGGATACTGGATTACGTAAAATGTCGACAGCAGCGTCAGCCTTGGGTGCCTTCAGGGAGCGACTGCAGCGCTGCAGAGCGCCCACGTGCACAGGGCACTGCTGGCAACAGCAGGGCCCCGCGCTCACAGCCAGAGCTGACACAGACACGGTCACTGCAAGGGCACTGGGAACCCTGTGGTTTCTTAAAACTACCACATCAATGGCGCTTTGCAGAGCTTCTGTACCAAAATGAGCCTGGGCCAACGTGTAAAGCGCTGAAGAACATGCTGTACTACACCAACACATTCCCTTGGATGTGAGTCTGACAAATAAATCCCGCCTCTTGGGAGGAAGAACAATTTTTCTCCGTTCTTGCCTTTATGAGAAGGTCTGCAGCACCATGTGATGTCCCGAGACATGTAACCACTATGCAGCACAAACCCACAGAAATGCAAGCATTTTTCTTATTGTTTTAGCTATAAATACAGGAATTTAACACTTGTCCTACTGGACTAGATCAAGAGTCCATCTCAGGGAAAGTGTCCTGCTCTGTGCTCTGACGAGTGACTGCTTCTGAGGAAGGGCAGGCTGCTTTCTGCAGCTCAGCCACCAGCCCTCAGAGGGGCACCTGACCCTGGCCCGCTGCAGGGAAGCAGCACCTTGACGAACGCACCACCATGATGCCATTTGATGCTCTCATAAGCTAGTACATCATCCAGCTTTTAAAGTGCCCTGTGCTTCTTTGCTCTGTTTTTCATAAAGAAACACTATCAATGTTAGGATTAAATCAGGGCACGCTGTTTTAAAAATCAATTTTGAAGACCTATGTCCAACAAACTGAGCTAAAAAATACGACTAACCCATTGTTGTTGTTATTTATGAGAAAACACAACACCTCTTTGACTACAATTTGTACTCACTGCTGCCAGAAGTCAACCATGCTGAAATTTTATTTCCAAACCTAAGATCAAGTGCACTTTAACTGAACCTTTTCTGCCCTTTCCTCCATCTCCTCTATTACAATTCACCAGGGCAGTGAGGGCTTATAACTTCAAGTAAGGAGTGTGTAGTGTTACAGGCAGACTCCTGGGGTGAGCAGAGTGGTGGGACGGGGTGAAGGGTCAGTCTGTGAGCTGAACGGTAAAAACACAGAGGGCAAGGAGAGGATCTAAGTAGAAACCCCGGCACTGGTACATCAGAAGGATGTGCCTGTGAAAAAGCAGGGCGAAGGCTCCAGCATTCTGAAGTGAACGAAAGAGTGGAGAGAGTGGGTGCAGCAGAGGTAGGAGGGAAAGGGACTTGCAAAGCCCTCTGAATCTGCTGCCACCTTCCAAGCAGATGCCAAGTTCGTTGATGCAGTACCTACCCTTTCTGGCTATGCACTCCCAGTTCAGCATGCACAGATGGCCTGATGGCACATCCGTGGCACACCCAGACTGCAAAAGTCACCGTCTGGGCACTTCTATTCCCTACCACATGCTCACCTCCACTGGACCGGCAAGTGCTTCCATTCAGACTGATCCAGGTCTTTCGATTTGTTTTCTTTCCTTCTTTCTCTGGCTAGCTATGGTCAAGAAGGGAACTTGCAACGCTAGAAACAATAGCAACAGGCAGCAGCTTGGATTTAATCTTTTCAGCATTTATAATGTCATGATCTTGACTGTTCATTTCAGAGACTTCTCTCAGTGTTGTTGCAGGCAGCCCTACTCTGAGTCATTCTTCCCAGACAAAGAAACAAACCTCAGTTATTCCCATGGCTGTCAAGAGACTGGGTCCTACTCCAAGCTTAGCCTGTTGTCAGATTTTGTAAGTCTTCTCACCTCACTTTTTTTTTTTTTTTTTTGACTTCATCTCTGAAACTGGAGTAGTGATTCTGGCCTTCTCTGTAGTCTCACATTTAAAAACGTTACATGGAATTTAAGCTTTACTATCAGAAGCAATATGCAGATCCCAGATGTTTATTCAAACCCAGTAGCACATTTGAAAGCATCATTTCACAGCATTTCTTGTAAGACTAAGTTTAACGTGTACACAGCACTATCTTTAGTACAGTGGTTTGATTTTTTCTGGCAGCATCCACGGAGTGTCAGGTGCTGTAGATTCAGATGGCTTTAGCCAACACCAGCAGAGCTCCTTCCTGTAGAGCCAGTGACCTATGTAACCACGAATAGAGAGTGAAAACATGTATGATAGGAAGAGATGCTTTGTCAGCTGTGGCCCACAACTGTCCAAATACAAGGCTTTTCCCTTCTACTCCAAACAAGCAGATTCCGAAGGAAGGGGCAGACTGATCCATAGATCAACCAATCCAGTCATACTCTTTCAAAGTTTACCTCAAGGTTAAATAAGGTAAAAAAAATCCTTCCAGGTTAAGCGGGTGATCTGACGTGTTGAGAAAGTGTATTTTTGATGTATTTCTTTGAAATTTGCAATGAAATACCTGGAGCTGTGAACTCTTCCATATTGGTTCTGAGATTAGTAAGTCACTTTAGCAGAGTAAACTAGTCACATGTAGATCCCTGAAGAAGTTGAAACACTTTTAAATGCTCTGTTGAACCTCTGGAATGCAAGATGAAGTCTGTATTAGGAAATGAGGGTCTGTCACTGCATGGAGAGATCACTGCACTGGAAAACAAAGTGAAGATTCCTTTTGCCATGCAGCTTTCAACAAGCCATTCAGCAGGACTCATCGGCAAAAAGCACACTGCAAGGAATGTTATGTCCAGCACTATTGTCATCTGCTTTGCTTTTGGATGTGCAGAAACCTAGGCCTGTGGGGAAAAGAATGAGCAGAACTAAGCCTTGCTAGGGAGAATATGGTTACAATTCCATCATATCAAAGCAGCATTTTTCCAGTGGTGGTAATTTCACCAGAGCCAGTCACCTTATCAGAAATATTTACCTGTGTCAGAATTTCTGACTCAAACACTTGCCAGGTTATCTCAGGACATAAAGTTGAGATAGTTGGAGCCCACCCTCTTTAAGATCTTTATTGATGACTTGGATGACAGAATTGGGTACACCCTCAGTAAGCTTGCAGACAACACCAAGTTGGGGGAAGTGTCGATCTGCCAGAGGTTAGGAGGGCCCTGCAGAGGGACCTGGACAGGATGGGTCAATGGACAGAGGGCAATGGGATGAGGTTCAACAAGGCCAAGTGCCGGGTCCTGCACTTCGGCCACAACAACCCCATGCAGGGCTACAGGCTGGGGGCAGAGTGGCTGGAAAGCTGTGCAGAGGAACAGGATCTGGGGGTGCTGGTTGATGCTCACCTGGACACGAGCCAGCAGTGTGCCCAGGTGGCCAAGAAGGCCAACGGCATCCTGGCTGTGTCAGGAGTAGTGCAGCCAGCACACCAGGGAGGTGATCGTCCCCCTGGGCTCTGCTCTGGTGAGGCCGCACCTCGAGTGCTGGGTTCAGCTTTGGGCCCCTCACTCCCAGAAGGACATCGAGGCCCTGGAGCGTGTCCAGAGCAGGGCTGCGAAGTTGCTGCAGGGCCTGGGACACAAGTCCTGTGGGGAGCAGCTGAATGCACTGGGGGTGTTTGGGCTGGAGAAGAGGAGACTCAGGGGAGACCTCATTGCTTTCTGCAGCTCCCTGAAAGGAAGGTGTGGGGAGCTGGGGGTCGGCCTCTTCTCACCGGTAACTAGAGATAGACAAGAGGGAATGGCCTCAAGTTGTTCCAGGGAAGGTTCAGGTTGGAGATGAGGAGACATTTCTGCTTAGAAGGGGTGGTCAGGCATTGGGACAGGTTGCCCAGGGAGATGGTGGAGTCACCGTCCCTGGGGGTGTTTAAGGAAAGGTTGGACATGGTGCGTGGGGCCATGGTTTAGTGGGTGACAGTGGTAGTAGGGTGATGGTTGGACCAGACGATCCTGGAGGTCTTTTCCAACCTTAATGATTCTGTGATTTTACTAAAGGCTGGCTTCAGCTGCTGACTTCCTCTTGCTGTGTTCCACTCAACATATCAGGGTACAGGAATCCAATCTACTCAGGACACAGACCAACACTTGAATCAAAACTTTGAAGGTAAAACAAACTCACTTGCCACAGAAGTCCTTGTGAACAGCACGAAGGGTGAGTAGTAAGTCCGGGTGTGCCTGTAGCCAGTTCTCCACCATATCTGGGTGACTGGGATCAACTTCCAGAAACACGCTTCTGAAAGGACACATGTAGAAGTAGAAAGTGGGGAGATGCACATGTTTAGGTTGTTAAGATAATAAAAATTAATGTCTTCTTTCCTGGAAGACTCCTATGAGTGCAGGAAATGAGAAGGTCAAAACACTTCAAACCAACAATCTTAAAAGAGATTGAAGCAGTCCATGTTAGGTGCAGCTTCCAACTGCCTCCTTCAGGGGGCCAAAATGTTGATATTAGAGGAGTACCATGAAAGTTTCCCTTATGTGAGCAGTTAAACCCTGGTACTAAGACCTAAGGATCCCTTTTGAACCCCATGTGGGAATGCCACCAGCTCTGTCTTTCTGAGGTCCACAAGGATTTAAAGTGGAGCAGGATGCTGAGGAAGAGCCAGAACGAAGTTTTATGATGCAAATGCATTAATACTCAATACTGGACTGGCACCTCGTTGTATAAACGGGGTGACATTAGGTCCCTGTAGTGAGAGTCAAACACCAGTCAGTATACACATTTTCCCCAGAGTACATATCTCCATAGATCATTTACAAAAACACCATGAGGATTGAGGCCATACAGCCCTACACACAGGACAGTACAAAGTAGAGTGCAACAGGAACGAGGGAACTTGTCAGACAGCCTCAGGTAATACACCAGGACGTGGCTTCAAATTGCAGGGCTATTTCCACGCTTGCTGCAGCTGGGCTTTGTGACACTGCCATTTATGAGTCTCTGCTCCCACAACAAGGCAGAATCCCTCTTGCTTACAGGCCCATGGAAATGGGTTCCAGCCTCTGACAGTGCAGCAGGACACAAGTTTAACATGCAAAGGACAGAGGCCAAGCCCCAGCCAGACACTCTCCCAGGAATTCCTGAAACGTCCCACACTGAACACTCCCTATTAATTCACCAAACTAATTACTAGCTGGGTGTGGTTCTCATTCCTGACCTTAAAAAACTTGGACCCCTCAAATAGGAGCTCCACCTTATAAAACAAGCAAAAAGGAAGTAGGAAAAAAATTCTAACAACCAACCCTACAGGAAACAGGGTTCCCATCTGTTGCTGGGAAGCCCTGGGGAGCATCTCCTGCTCTTGTGGTCATACAAACCATAAGCAATGAATTATTCTCAGTACGCCTCTCGATACTCCTGTTCCTCTTCTCAAAACAGCAGATTTTCAATGTCCTCTCCTATGCTAACCAAAAGGTGAGGAATTTTCAACAGAATATGGGAACGTGCCGACACAAGACATTTGGGTATCAGCCTGTCCATGCTGAGGCACAAAATGGATCCCACGTAACAAGTAGAAACAACCAGTCTTAAGAATTCACAGTGAAGAAATCTGACATTTAAGAAGTTATCCCTGGCTGATTACCATCACTCTCCCAGGATATTCAGCATTGCATCATGGCACAACATACAAGTTTCCCCTAAAGAAAGGGTGGGAGGGAAATAGAGATCTACACCCATCCTCACAGAGCTCTGTATCGCTTCTCCCTCCATCAATTATTCTGCGTAAGTAAGCTTCCCTTTTTTGTGCTCCTTCTTACTCTGTTGCTCTCTTTCATGTTCCTTCTGTTAGTGCTTTAACCTTTAAAGATTCTCACTTCATTAATGACTATGAAACATCATCACTAGTCAAGGAAGGCCCGTATCCCTGTATTAACCAGGCTGATTTTAAGCTGATTTTGCTTATATACTTTAACTGCTATTACTAGATGGCATTTTCGCAACGATTTTCCCCTCTGTATCTTCCTGTATGAAACACAAATGGCAGTTATAGAAATGGACAGAAGACATGAAACTCAGAAAGAGAACTGTACTTACCCAGAATCCTTCAGAAGAGAAGGAGCCAGAGCCAGAATTGTTTTGATAACTCTCATCCCATCAGTTCCTCCATCCAGTGCACCAAGATCCTCATAGCTAGGTGTTGGGAACAAGACAACATTACCACGTGGCACGAGCCATGCCACTGAGCCACTGCCTGACACCACAGAGAAAGGTGCAACTAACACACCTGAACTCCAGCCTGGCTACAGCAAGTGAGAGTACTTTCATAGCTTTTAGGAGAAATACTGGGAATAAGGCGGCTGCCACCTCTAGGCTGAGAAACTCCAAATTGAACACAAGCAGAACACATTCCTTGAGCTTTTCGTGAACATTTTGAGTCAACAGCAGCCAGGGTTACACAGTTCCAACATGTGGCATGTTCTCTCTGTGCTAGCTGGACAGGGAAAGAGTAAGTTGCACAGTAATGGAGCACTTGCTTTACTTCAGCTGTGTCAATAGCCAGGTTGGACTGCTTTCTAACCTAGCAGAGCAAATTAGGATGCAAAGAACTTTGCCACTTTCAAGGACAGAATCTGCTCCTGTGGACGTTTTGCACAGGGGTGTGTATAGGACTCTGTCCTGACATGCATGACAATCAATCCGGAGGAAGACCAGCACACACAAAGCAGTTCAACATTCCAGAAGAGCCTTTTCATGTGTGGGGGTTTGTTTGCTTAAAAGATGACTTGTGACAAGAATGGGTCACGGTATTTCCACCTATTTTTTTAATCACAAAAAGCTACCCAGAATAATTCTACTTTCTTTCATACACCACTTATGAAAAACTCTAGCATGAAAAACGTTCTAAAAGAGTTTTGGATTGGAAACTTAGTAATTTCAACGTGTACTTCTTCCATTTTTATAAATATTTTAAATACTCCAATATCGGCTCAGACCTGTAAGCATTATCAAAGTAATGCTGTAGTGTTGCGCACTATATATAAACACACCTACAAGTAAGAATGTATGTGTATACTACATTTCCCTACTTTCTGGGCAAGTGTGTGTGTGTAACATAAGGAGGCAGCCAGAAAACCTTGCAGCAAGGAATGGGAGAAGGAAAATCTGTTTATCTGATTACCAGAGGATCTCTGCATCCAGGGAAGCCATGTCTTCATGGAAAACATATGGGGGGTTACTGACTATGAAGTCCATGGGGCCCCAGAGTAGAAGCTGTTTGGCAGAACCTAGGAAAGAAAAAGAATCACAACCATTTCTCAGCCACAGCAACCCTTCCTCTAAGCTCAATACCAAAATCCTATCCAGAAAACCATCTTTCCAGACAGCTGCACATGTGTTTGGTTCTGCTTTGCTTCTCTGGTAGAATTTTATCCCGTTTCTTTTTGGGACAGCCTAGCCTGGTCACTCTCTCACCCTGAGCACAAGAATGATACAAAGCTAAGAACAGGCAAAGTATCTTTTTTTTTTTTTTTTTTTTTTTTTCCTATCCACAGCCCTGCTTAGTGGAATATCTTACAGTACACAGGACCTGGATGCTCCGGAGAGACCTGTGCCCAATGAAATCTAAAGCAACAACTGGAACTTGACAGACCACGCAGACCTAAGTGAGAGCTTGGGCTAGCTGTCAGGATGTACATCCCTCCTCTTATCAAAGCTGCAGAAGGACCTTGAATAAGCAAAAGAGCTAAGCCCTCATCTGTATCACCCTTTAAAGGGTGGCCTTTCTGCCAACAAGGTTCAGCTTATGCTCGTGCTGCTGTCTGGACTGATATGTACCAGCTCTGGACCAGACACCACAACTCTGGGAGTGTTGCTCTGTCCTCAGGTCGGGCTCCCAGCACGGAGCTTACCCCTGCAGGTGCCAGGCCAGCACAGCCACATGGCTTTAGGACTGAAGCTAGCTGGCTTACTGCTGGAGTACAGCCAGCACGAGCTCAGATTTGCAGGTAGAAGGCTGCAGACATATTCCCAAGAGGTAATAGAATCAAAGCCAACAGCATCAGAAAGGTGCGTTAATGAATTTGCAACGCTGGAGCTCCTGGCTCTGGAGCTCCTAGCCAAGCACAGCTGAGCATGTAACTACCTACCTAAACCTCATCAAATGGCAGTTTTAAGAAGTTTCAGCCAAGGCCAGGGTAACAACATCAGGTATCCTATGCTTCAGTTCACCTTATTTCAAATGGATGAAGGCTGGGCACTTAATGTAAGCTAAATGTCTGGGCTCCCTCTAACATCAGTGGAAGGACAGGCACATACCTGTTCATCTAGAGCACCCATGTCAGCATGGAATGAATTACTCTCTGTATGTATGCCTCTCCCCACTAACAGCAGACGGCACCTGGACTACCAGCTCAGAATCAACCTTTAGACACGTAAAAACAGGAAAAATTCGTCTTCTGATTAAGTAATAGATTTCCCTCAGCTGATAATCTGGCCTGGAAATCTCTAATGGGAAAAGCTTCACGGGCTCACTTCCTACTGACCTTTTCCTTTTACTTCAACACCCTCCTCACCCGTGTCCCAGTGGGGTGGCCCTCCAATGTCTCTCATGCCCAATGCCCAACAGCAAAGTAAAAAGGAAGAAGGACAAAAAAATATATCAGTGAAAAGAATTACCATATGAAACATTGTGGTGGAGGATGTGGATCCTGTCCTGGAGTTGCAGCCTGTAGAGAAAATTTAGATGCAAAACAGAAAGAAGATTAGAAAGCTCATCTGTGTGGATTCAGGAACAGCATATTTAATAAACAGACCATTGAATAATCACACCTTTCATTATATGCTTGTATATACTACCCCACTGAAAAAAAGAAAAAAAAAAACGCAATTAAAAGCATCAAATATATAAACTTGATATTGTAAGTGAAGTCAACAGGCTCATGTTTGTCACATTCTTTCTCCAGACACTTTATTTTTTATTATTTTTTTTTTTTTACAGTTGGGACCTTAACAGTGTTCTGAGTGTATTTTCTTAGGCATCTTTAAAGAGTCATGTTTCATCTCACATGAGTGTGTTAAGGTGACGAGATTTTACTGCATGCTGCACCAAGAAGCCAGCACATGCAGTGCAACAGAACCCCTGTGCCGTAGACCAGGAGAAGGGACTCCTTTACAGATTCATAGAATCATTTAGGTTGGAAAAGTCCTCTAAGATCATCAAGTCCACCATTAACCTATCATTGCCATGTCTACCACTAAACCACGTCCTTAAGCACCACATCTACACGTCGTTGAAATACCTCCAGGGATGTTGACTCAACCACTTCCCTAGGCAGCTTGTTCCAATGCCTCACAACCCTTTCAGTGAAGAAGAAATTTCACCTAATATCCAACCTAAACTTCCCCCGGCACAACTTGAGGCCATTCCCTATAGCCCTATCACTTGTTGCTTGGGAAAAGAGACGAACCCTCACCCCACTACAGCCTTCTTTGAGGCAGTTGTAGAGAGGGGAGCTGTCCCCTTTAGGGACACCCACAGACTGCTCAGTAAAATGTATTTAAAGCACACTAGGGTTTCTCAGATGTGACTCTCTAACTCATGATCCTTCTCATCCCTGAGATGTTTGTGCACATTAACCGGGAGATGTTTTGCTCAGTGCCTTTCATCTGTAACCAGACCTCCCCAGGGCACTCACACCAGCAGAGTCCCCAAAGGTCCAAGAATACACAAACACGTCTCCCTTTACCTGTGACAAGTAAGCAGAGTGGTTTGTTATTTTTAATAAATGTGTCTTTAAACACCTTGGTATTTCTTAGGGAGAAATCTTGGCCAAGACTCTGGTCTCTCCTATTTACTGACTCAATCCCAAGTAGAACAGCCTGAGACAGCCAAGCTGCCATTGCATGATACTCCAGGCTGGCTCAACCTGGCAAAATCCATCCCTACCTCCCAGCTCATTCCAGATTACACTCCCTACCAGGGGGAAGTAGGCAGAGATCCCCCTAAACCTTTGGGATCCTAGGAAAAGCTCCCTTGATGCTACTGAGGCAGTAAAGAGATGCCAGTTTAAAAGCTGCTGTGGTAGTTGGTTACAGCCTAATATTACAGGAGAGGGCACAGAAGCAGAGAGCATGAGACAGCAAGGGAGGAACATAAGCCCTAATTCCCCAGTTGTATGATCCACCCATCACAATACCTCTTCTCACAAGCTTTGCCTCTGGCTTTTGAGAAGACATTTGAGCAACAACAGAGAAGGCATTTTGCAGAGCCAGAGAGACAAGGTTGGTCAAGAACTGCTGATGGAGAAAGACTCCAAGCCTCCTACAGGAGGTGCCATTTCCTGACCACCAACAGCACACGGTGGCAGACAGGATCTGCCCTGTCCCCTGCTGCAGCAGGTGTCTAGAGAAACCTCTGAAAAAATGGAACTCTTCCCAGTATGCTCTTTCCTCCCAGGACAGACTCACCACAATGACAGATTTTTCTTTCTGGCTCTTTAGTGTAACGCTCTAGGAGCTACTTGATGGGGTTCAGAGAGCGTGCTGCAGGAAAGCCCTTAGACTCAAATACTGTTTGCCTTTGCTGAGGGCCATACACAGGCATCAAGAAAAGGACGGATTCCTGTCTCTATCTGCAGTGTGCACAGATGGGTAATCTGGCACTGCTATTGATTTGGTGCAGCCAAGACTCACCTAGGCATCCTCCCCCCAGGGAACACAGCTGTGATAAGGGCGCTCTGAAAAGAAGGCAAGAACCAAGCTGGCTTCGGTCAAGCAGTAATACAGCTTATCCTACTGGCTTCTCTCCCAAGAGCTACAGAGCACCACAGACAAGATCCCTTAATGAAAATATCCATGGAGAAACATGAGGTTCTCTGGCAATGCATTTACACTCCCCATAGCCATTCTTGAGCCAACCAGCAAGGATAATATGACAATTTTTCCCATGTGCCAGAGTGCTACTCTACCAAGGAGGCAAAGATCTTGCTTGCTTTTATTATGTTTCTGTAAAACTGCAAGACAACTTGGTTTGATACTCACACATCAGGAGGAAATCTCTGCTGCCTGTTCCCTACAGCTGGAATAGGAGGCACAGGCTACTGATGAGGTAAAAGTACAGGAAGGGCTTGTGTTTCTACTCATCACTTCAGACTCGTGTAAGATCTGGGACCGGATTGGAAGAAGTGGAGAGATGCCACTCAGTGCAGCCAGAAACAGGAGCAGCCTGTCTCTGTAACCCCTGTGCTGGCAGCAGCTTTGGAAGAAAGGGTATGTGGGTCCTGAGAACAGTAATGTCAGTTAACGAGCATCATTTTTACAACTCGCAGCTGTTAAGAGACTCCAGAAGAGGTAGCAAAAGGAATCCCTCCCAAGACTGCTCTAACTCAGGGCCCAGAGGTTTCAAAGGATGTGAATACATACTAGAGCTCTGTACCCTTCACAGTGTCTACAAAGACTGGGCTTCTAGACTCAAATCATACTGAGATTTACCTCTGGTGCTCACTATACTCATGACAATCCAGAATAGCATGGGTCCAGCAGAGCCAGCTGATGAAGCAGAGCTGCTAGGAAGGACAAGGTTTTCCTGAGAGCTGCTCTGCCTTCAGGCACAAGGACTCAGCAGCTCTGTCCTCAGAAAACCCCAGGCTGTGAGGAGGACACTGAGGAATGCCAAACCAACACGAAGTGAAGTGTGAAAGCTTATATCCAGAGGAGCAATGAGAGGAGCAAGCACGGCAGTAATGATGTAGGTAGCCAGAGTAAGATTCAGGCTGTACCTGTCCTGAACCTGTTAAGACATATGCATTCTTACCACCTGCTGCTTAAGTTTACGAAGTCTATAGAAAACAACAAGAGTAGTAACCAGGAAACACTTTGAAAACCCTTGGAAGACAGCATTCGGACTGCTGTCTATGCAAAGCACATTCACAAGTGAAAGGAAAAAAAAATCCTGGTAAATACAAACTTTTTTTCCAACTTCTTACACACTTTGGGAGTTCAAACAATTAAAAATTCCCTAGTTTCTAGCGGTGATGAATACACCCAAATATTGATGACTCCTGGTCTTCCTCAAGCAATGATTTACAAGAAACGGGTGATATGTGGGCTCATACCTATGCACATTCTCCTTGGTGAGATCCACAGCAGCCTCTTCTTTATCCACAGCTATCACCCGGCTCTAGGACAGAAAAACAACAACAAACAAAAGCATTACAACATCAGGGTTCCTGAACAGACAAGCTCTGCCAGAAAAGACATGCAAGATAAAACCTGCCAATTGACTCTTCCCTCTCAGCTCCCAAAAGGAACAGCTCATGATGAATGCCTCTCAGGGCACTGATGGAATCACAAGTCACTTCTAGTAAGCCAACTAACATGACAGAAGGCAATCTGCAACACTGCCAGCATTCCACCAAAACAGGCTTCTGACCAAACCAACTCAGCTCACAAGCATGGAGTCACACTGACTCACATCTCTTGATAGGCTCATAGCTCCTAAGGAGTGTGAAACTCAATGCTTCAGCACGCCCAAAGGCTGAGGTGGGCACAGGTTAAAAGAAGACCACATCCTAGGCTTCTCCACTCTAATGTGGATGGAATCCCTCCGAGCATTAACACAACTGCTTGGACAGAGGTTCTGGCATTTTCCATATGCACTTTTTGCCTACTTACACCACTGCAGTCGTTACAGTGCTTACACTACATTCACCATACGCGTTGACTGCTTGTACCTGACAGTGTGTCACGTATTTGGGAGTCCTCTGGTATAACAGCCTGTGACAGGACGGTTAGAGATATGTTTGACCTTCCATCCTGCCTTAGGAAAAGTGCAGGCAAAGACCTGACTTGTTTTTGCTTTGCTTTGTTTTTTTTAAATATAGACGTGGCTAAGTATTTACACAGAGAAAACATGCTCAAAGAGATTACTTTGCATCTGGAGATGATGACAGTATGTGGTGCAATCAACCATCATTCCTAGGGGGTTCATTTCAAAGCCTGAGACCAGCACCCCCACACACAAAGCAGAGCCTTAAGGTAAAGGACACGCCTGAAACCATAAATGAAAAGCTGCTGGTGTTTTTCCTTGATACCCTACTGCCAAATTCTGCCTCAAGCACTGAAAGAGATCACACAGAATGTAAACTCAAGTCAGGTGTCAGTGTAGCTCCTGTTCACTCTCTTCAGTCAAGGCTCTTTATGTCTCTGGGCACAGCAGTTTGTGTTAGCCAGCAGGGAAAGGACTATTATCAGTTACAGGGACAGACTGGCACAGTTGTTTAACCTGACAGGAAAGGAAAAGGACATGAAGCACAGCCCAGGAAATCAGAGTAACTATACTGGAAGTCATGAAGCCCAAGTATTAACCGTAGCAGGTCAATGGGAGGAGGAACGCAGGCATTGACCTCCATAACTCTAACACACCACGCCTCACACTCCTCTCTCTGAGAGGAAGAGCTGGCCACAGCACTTCTTGCTCACGAGAAGGGACTTGCTGAAATCTGTATGTGATGAGATCTTGGCTTCATTTCTCTTTTTTTTTTCTCCCCGTTTACCAACAGTATCTTGCTAACCTTGTCTCATGCCATAATGATCAGGGGCAAGAAGGGCTTTGGTCAGCCAGATCTCAGTTCCCTTCCCGCTCTTTCCATTCTGTCCAAAAGGTCGGGGGTTGTTATCAGGGAACACAACGCTTTCAAAAAGTGGTTTGGCAGTTGTGGCAGTGTGACATCTGCTTGTCATATTGATCCTAACTACTGAGACTTCCGTGGGAATCCCTCTCCTATATTCATTTGGTCTCTTCGGACTCTTAGAGATGAGGTCTATTGATTCACAGCAAGGTGATTTAAAAGATGACCGTCCCACACGTTTGACTAATGGAGTGTATGCTCACGCCTCAGTCAATCTAGTCCACAACGCAGGATATTAGTTTAAACCAACACCCACCACAGCTTCAAGATAAGGTGATTAGTAGTGAGCTGTGACAGCTGAAGAACGAGCATATTTGCTTCTTTCATTCTGACTACACCTTTGCTAGTCCTTCAGACAGTTCAGGAGAGCACTTCCTAAATACCCTCCCTCTACCCAGAATGAACTTACAGAGTCTGATTGTCAAAGACCTTAGCTGCTAAAGCAGCAGCTAAGACCCATCAAGTCAAATAAATTTGCCTGGGAAGACTCAATGAAGTCTGGTGGAGTGGGACTGTCCTGTAATACAGACATCTCTTGTGCCATGGGCACTGAAAAAAGCTCACCTGAGGCAGTTTGCACAGAAGACTCAGAGCTATTGCTCCAGAGCCACAGCCAATCTCCAGGATAATGGGATGTGGGACAGCAACTGAGAAGCAGAGGCCTGAATTCTTCTCCTTATGTTTCCGAGATTCTTCCTCCAGAACTAAGGAGATGAGATCCTACCAAAACAAAAGAAATCATATCAACATTTTTCTAAGCTGTTTTGATTCTCACCTTTGTGTTCTGAGGACTGAAGGAATTTAAATTTATTGGGTTTGTAGCCCCGTAAAATGCATTTCTGTTGCTTATTTTTAAAACATAAATGACAGCAATGGAACTGACATACAAGAAGTCATTTCAGCTCCATCTCCCCCACAGGGCGCTGACTAGTAACCAAATCCTCAGGATGCAGTTTCCCAGGGATCCTCTGAGGTCTTCTAGCACTGACAAAAACAATAACCAAACAGCTGGAGCACATTATCTTCTGTAACAGCATATTATTTACCCCCAAATTCTAGCCTTTAGCATTTGTATACTACAAAACTTAAGAATTCCAAACTTTTAAATAATCTGGAGACAGCCATATGGCTCTGAACAACAACTAAACCAATAATCCAACCTGCAGATGAAAAGCAAAAGCAGTGAATTACTAAATGACCCAAATGTCCCTGCGTGGCTTTCAGATTGTGGACTCCTACTGCGTTTTGCTGGTATAAAGTCACATGGGAAAGGCTTTCATCCATGCTTCTTGAGCTGTATGCATCTCTGCTGCCACTGCTTCCTCCCCCCCATCAATCTAGTTTTGAAATCCCTTGGCAATTTCATTTAAAAACCAACACAGCAGGAGAGGTCTTAAAGACACACAGTTCCAAGGTCTGTGAAAATGAGAGATTAGTTGCTACAGAACACACACACACTTCCCTCAGACTGCAGCATGAACTTCCTTTGCTGTTCACCAGAGAAAGCCCTTATTAGACACCTTGCTTCAGCACCTGCTCACAACTCCCTGAGACCCCTGTTCTTTTCATGGCACAACTGTACAGAAACACGCCCTTACTGCCCAAGGCGCTCCCACAATGGCTAGGTTATTTTTACTTGAGAGATCTGCTCTTGAATCTCTCCTGTAAATGTATGAAGCTTAACAAAATTCACAAAGAAGAATTGGCTTGATTTTACCAACAGGCACAAATGAAAGACATTACCAGGAAAATTACTGGTCTTACAATTTTCACAAGACATTTTGCATGTTCTTGGCATAAGCAGGAATATCTAAAAGCAACGCAACCTAGCAGGCAGGTCCAGTTCTCTGTAGTAAAGTAATGGCCTTTTCCAGGAGCCTAAACCAGGCATGCTTACACATAAGGGCACAACCCTTCCTTGGATATATCAACGAAACTGGGGTACAAAGTAACAGATGGTTTGTGCAAAGCTGCAGAGTTCCTATGAAGATATTTGTTGCTGTGGGTCCTCCTTCATGCTAGGCTGATTTGCATCTGCAGGAAGCAGGAAGAGAGGCTGCCAACAGGTGTAAAAATGAGCTGGGTTAGAGGAGCTTCTGTGGAAACATCCCCAGAGTCCCTGAGCATGGGCTGATTTGTCAGATAGCATTTTTGTTGCACACAAGACGTGGATTGCTCTTCAATATAATAAAATACCGTGACTCTTCACAGGAACAAAGCTTGTGCTATTTCTGTCCTGAATGAGGAAACAGCCATATTTCAGCGCTGGCCTGCCCTAAGAAAGCCAGGCAGCTTTCAGCTGCTTCCTTTTAGTAGAACCCTTTGCCTGTTGATTTCTCCAGCTGAAAGAGCCTGAAAGCACATGCAGAAAGGAAAGATTTGGTTTATCTGAATGTGTAGACACTCCATATTTCTCCTGGTAACATTAATTCTTGTTTAGATCAACTTTTCTGAGCCTTTGCTATTTTCAACTTGGCTGCCTTTGGCTTTGTTGCTTTTCCAGTAGCATGGCTCTGCCATCATGCCAACTTTGGGGAGACACCGGCTCCTTAACTTTCTTTGGGCTCCTTTTCACAGCCGCAGCCTTCCGGGGCCTGCAGGGGCTTTTTAGCAACACGCTCCTTCAGCTGTTTGCGCTGCTTTCTCTCAAATCTCCTGCAGTTGTTGAGCTGGAACAAGCCAGAACCACCCAGGTCTTTGCCCACCAGCCACTCAAAACCAGCCTTTGTTCTTCTCCAGCCCACGCCTTCTGCCTCCCATAGCTCTCCATGCTCCTCAGCAATGAGTGCAGCGCTCATTGGGCTCCTGCCCAAATGCAAAGGAGAAGCAGCCCACAGGCTGGAGGACACTATTCTCCACTGCGAGGTTCATTTTGGGGCCTCATGCTTTTCTCAGCCAGGTATGAGGGGCTGTGCTGCAATGCCCTGCCCTGGGTACCGCCCCGTTAGTGGCACGGCACTCGCAAGGGAGTTTTGTTAACAAAAATCACCTCCTCCCTGCTGCTGCTCTGGGACTCCTTTCCTAGAGAACCACAGAGGAAAACATTCTCATAGGCTCCCAAACAAGACTGTGGGAAACCATTAGAGGACCACCAGCATTCAGATAACAACGTGGAAAAACAAACACCGCATCTACCCACTCGCGTGAAAGTGGCTTGTGCATTTCAAGTGGATGACTCAGTTTGAGAACACTTCTGCAACAAAGACAGAGAGACTGCAACCACAACAGGTGCTGCTGATTCCAAGACCACAGGAGAAGAACCACCCAAAAAATTCTGCTTGGACATTAAATTGCTCTCTTAAATGCTGGCCATTTCTGGTCACGTATAAATATTTCCAGGAAATTTCTGTGCTAGCTCAGAACCATCCATCTCCAGGGCTGGTCACAGAGGGACACAAGTTACTGATTACAAACGTCCACATGCAATTTCCTTAAAGCAGAACTACTGTCAGCATTTATTAACTTCATTAACGTTTATCACCAGCAATTTCAAGCTTGGAGTTATTAGAGAAGTTCTGCTTTATGTGCTCCACAGTGAAAGTATTTTGAGAGTGCTTGCCAAAGCTCTTGTTTAAGTACAACTGATTTCTGTTTTTGCCACAGGTATATTAAAAAAGAGACCTTGGTATTACTTCAGCTTTATATCCTACTTCCTGACCCTTGCCACATTGCGTTGGTTACTTCATATACCTCTTCTGGAGGCAAATAATCCACACGTTTATTGAAGTAGTTCACAATTAAAAGATAGCATTAAAACTAATGTGATGACCTAGAGAAACTAATTCCTCCTCCAGATGTTAGTATCTCTCTACAATCAGAGAGATCTATAATTATAAAACTAAGTTCTTTTTGGAAGTAAATTTAGTTGACAAGCAAAACAGAATGTATACCCTAACCAGCACATTAGGAAAAAAGAAAATACTGGTATAAATTGGATGTTTAATTGAATCTGTAACTATGTGTATATTAAAAACAAGAAGAAAACACAAAACAATGCACAGGAATAAAACATTTCATAGATCTGCATCAACTGGCTGTGATATTAGCTGTCCTTGCCTTCATTTACAGCTTTCCCATGAAAACCAAACTTCCCCGACAGGTATAAAAGAACCACAACGCAGTGGGTCCTGTAAGCCCACTGCCATGGCCAGGACTTTTCCTTTCCAGAAGTCGGGAGTGACCGAGATATCCAAAGTCGTTTTGAAAGTGTTCTTCAGATAGTCTTGGTATTTTTCCATCTTTCCTGAAGCAATCCGGTGAAAAACTGTGCTTCCCCGGTCTCTGAAGATGTCACCACTGGAAACTGGCAAATCACAGCACAAATTACAGCAGAGCACAGCAGAACCACTTTCAAGCCTCATCTTGGGAGATGAAGTACTTCTGGCCACGCATTGCAGTGCTCATACACAGAGCACAATGCGCCCTGTAGGACAGCCATTCCCTACCTCTGTAGAAGAATCTGACCAGTGCCACAGCTATCAAATAGCAACAGGGGCAGAAGGTGCTAGAAAGAGATGCCAGTCCCAGGCACAGTGAAACTGGGACAACAGCAGACGTCCAAAGGCTGTGATCTTTGTTGTGTAGGACACCCTGCCTCATCTCAGACTGATGAGTTTCAGACAGCGAGCATCTGCTAACTCCATCATTGCTTAAAGCAATCTTAACCCTCAGTTTAGTTACCAGCCCTAAAGATTAACATGAAATTAAAGAAACTCTAATGGAAAATAAGAGAAAACATTTTGACAGCCTAGATAATTAACCTTTGAAATATGTTGGGTAAATTCTCCCCAACATGTCACTCTAAACTGAAACGGCAGGCCTTTCAAAAGGGCTTACTTGCAGACACCATTTACCGGATTCGATACACCAGAGAGAAATGGCCTTCGCTACAGAAAAATGCTATTTTTGATAAAACAAAGACTTGATTATCATTGAGGCCTTATAGCGTCTAAAAACAGACAAATGAGTTGGTTGCTGAGGTGCCTCACCCCTGAAACATGCTGAGCACCTCAGTGCCTCTACCATTCATCCTCACAATTCCCGTTTTGCAGAGAACAGCGACCATCCCAAATTCCCAATGGAGGACTACAGCAGAGTGGATCAATGAAGCCTCATCTGCACCTCTGCCACTGCTTTAGATGATGGAAGTGGCTCCCCCAGGCTCCAGACAGGGGCAGACCTACAGTTGGCGTGTCCAGTGTGAGGGCAGCTCACCTCCTGATTAAAAGCAGAAGTCAGAAAAATCAGAATCAGATTCCTACATCACCTAAACAATCAGTGCTTGGCTGCTCTCAAATTGCCTTTTTGTTCCGAATGTGGTATATACAGACTGTAAAAATAATTAAAACACCAACAAAGTGCCATTTTGAGGAACAAGTGAAATTATAAGTTAAGAAATGATTTCAGAAACGTGACCTGATTTCATGTTTACCCACAGCACACTAACCACTGGATAGGATGAATGTTCAGCTGTGGGCTTATTAAAATTCAGATTGCTGCTTACAGTATGTGTCATTATTGTCAATAACAACACAGCCCACACTGAAAGTTTTGCTAACCAGTGCTACAGGTACTGGCACAACTACTTCTGCCCTGGAGCCTGGTGCATATGAAGGAGAGTGTAAGCATGATACGTGTTAGAGAGGGGAAATGGAAGATTTTGAAGATCTTCCCCAGTCTGTGCTCCTTCCTCAACTAGCTAGCTTTAAAAGGATTGAAGG